TTGGGGTTTGGACCCCATTGGGAGTGTTAGAGACAGGAACATTTCTTAAGCTGCTTTCAGTTAAGCAATTTGTGGGACATGGTTCAGACCTGGGTCTGTGTTTTTAGCCAGCAAGCGTGTCTGGCAGTGTACAACCAGGCACGGTTTTGGAGTCCCAAACTGGCAGGGAAAGCAGGGGCAGAAGTAGTCTTGGCACATCAGTTGGCAGCCCCAAGGGGGTTTCTGTGATCCATCCCGTCACAGTAGGCTCATCCTGCCTACTGAATTATGAACCCATTATGTTGGTGAGAATTTGTTCCCAGTTGTGATCCTATAGAAATCAGTGGGACTGCTTATGTGAGCAACTGCTCACTTAATCGTGAGCCTTTGAGCTAGGCTTTGGTTCTGCATGAGAGTTGCCTACCTTTCAGCTCAGTGCACTCTAAATTACAATGGAACTTCGGCTGATCAATACTATGGTCTTGCAAGTACAGATTGCAGGATAATAGCATGTATTTGAAACCATCTTCAAAGTCCCTGCCATACAGAAAAGTTATGGCTAATGCCTTGGCTAATGATGCTGCTGCATCAGAAATGCTGGCTGGTCTTAGCTGTGATATACACCATCCACCAAGATAGCACTAAGCATTATCTGAAGGAATGGACATTGCATCATGGCTTCTAAGAGGTACTGTTCCTCTAAATAATGTTTTCCAGCAGACAAGTTAGCCTCTAATTAGAATAAATCACGCTATATATTGATGGGTTTTACCTAGAGCTTTTAAACACGTTCTGAAATTCTGAGGATACTTCCACACCATTTAGGCCATGAGTCAGCAGGGTACTTAAGTGCATGCCTAACTTTAAGCAAGTGAGCAGTCCCATTGACTTCAGTGAGACAGTTCAAATGCTTATAAGTAGGCACATGCATAAGAAACTTGCTGAACTGGGACCTCAATTCCTAAACTATGTTTCTAACCCAAACCACTCTGAATTTGTTTGTTTTGTTTTGTTTTGAAGAATTTGAAATCCCTAAATCAGTGTCATCTCCTCACCTATATGATTTTGGTTCTGGGTCAGAGCTGAATGCAGGAAGGATCTGTTTTTATGCCTGAAATAGCTGATATTTGACAAGATTTCTACCATTTGAGAGAGAAATCTCACAAGAACAGCTCTTAAAATACAAATACTGTGAAATCTAAATGCAAACTTTTATCCTAACTAGGACCTGAAATTAATTAATCTGGACCCAAACACTTCCCCTAAATCTAGCACCTATTACCAATTGAAAATAATGCATAAAATTTTAGCATAAGACCTGTTTTTAGCCAGGCGAGCAAAGCTTATGTTTATCATTCTTTGTGACTTGTTCACTTCCTATTGTGAAAGTAAATTAAGTTCTGCTCTTTTCTGACATTGTCAAAGATCAGGGAATCAATTATCTCTGTAAAGCTTTATCAATATTGTTGGATATTGACAGATTTAGTTGGGGACTCATTATGTAGATAATGTGCAGGTTAAAAATGTCACTGAAAGCCAAAGTTGAATTTCCTGTGTTGCTATTATGAATCTTCCTATTATAGAAATGCCCAGATAATCAGATAATTTTCTGTTGAACCTGGCAAGATATGAAGCTCTGAGTAGTTACACAGTTTCTGCAGCTTACACATGATTTTTTCCAAATTAACATGAACAGTATTAAAATGAATATTAAAATGATATTAAAATGTGCAGTGTTGAGAGGCACTGTAAGTCTGATCTCTTTGCTTGACATTATTTGTTGAAAAGAAATTAGATTGCCTATGTTTACCTAGAGTAGACTGATTAAAAAGATCAAGTCAATGGGCAAGTAAGCATACAAGGTCAATAATGCAGTACTGGCAAGGAGCCAAATGTCAAACTCTGAATATTTGTTAATTTTATACATGTTCTCAAAATGAATTACTGGTAATAAATTAAAAACTTAAGAAAACAAAGCAAAAACCTAACCTAAAAGGAGACTCGTATAAAGGACTTTTAATAGTTGTGCCGGTAGTGGACTGGCAAATTTAGATGGGTTGCTGTGGTTTATATTCAGTACCTTGAAGATTATCAGACCATGTCCTATTGGAAACTTTCCCATTTCCACCCCATCCTCCCAACCCATCTAATAGATTTAAACCCTTAGTTTGGTAAATTCTGTAAATGGTACAAACTTTCCTTACCATTTGTGTTGATGGAATTGACATGTAAGTGAAACAACTGACTCTCTTAAAGTTAGAAATCCTTTATTATAGGCACTCATCTTTAAAGCAAAATCAAAGATTGCCTTTTGTGAAAAACATCACAAATCCCATACACATTTGCTGCTCTGAACAACAGACTTGATGACACCAAGATCACCACCAAATGGTGGTGCATTAGCAAGTTAATAGTTGGTAGCAGATAAACCTAAAGCCAGGCCCAAAAAACTTTTATGAAGAGTGATGTTGTTCCATTCCCAGTTTGGTATGGCTGCCAGAGAAAGAGGGACTGTGAGTGGAGGAAATTTTCAGTCCAGAGTTGGGGCAACATATTTGATTTTTTTTAAAGAGATTTTTTCCGGTGACTTCATGTTTCGTTGACTGAGTGCATTAGCCTTCACCTACGGAGACTATAGTTGAAAATCTATCTTAAGTTTCGAATGAAAGTAATTGCTTTTCTCAGAATTCTTTGAAAGAGATTTTCCATGACCCTTGGTGCGAAAGGCACTTTAAATGGGGCATATTATTACTTTATTATTATATATACCTTTTTATATTATGGTAGCATCTAGAAACGCTAATCATCACAAATGGGGACTACTGCTGCTAGGTACTCTACAAATGTAGAGGCAGATACTGTCTGTGCTCTGAAGAGCTTAAAACTCTAAATGCTACATTTTAGTATCATTGGTTTTATGAAGTTTCAAGCATTGCAAAGAAAAAGCCACATGCATTCACTTCTGTCATCAACCTTAGTGTCTAATCCTGCCAGCACTTACATGCCTGCCTAACCTTAGGTAGTTTTGTTCCCTGGGACTACATACATGAATGTACTCAGGTGCAGAAGAGTTTGCAGGATTATGCCTTTAGATTGATTTCTAAATCTGTCCAGAGGGTTGAATTTGTAGGAGTGAGACAGGGAGTTCTTATTACCGGTTCTTCTCAGCTGTGTAACTTACTCCCAATAGAGGTCTTTCAGAACCCAAGGCTTGTCTTGTTTAGGGAACAATGTAAGATGAAACACTCATATAACAAAATATAATTAAAACAAACAAAATTCCCCCTAAGCTACTCCTTCCTCTGGTTTTCCCAGTGCATCCTGTCTCTTCTCTGTTTCTGTTAATTAGATTGAAAGCTCTTCTGAGCAGGGTCTGTCTGCAGTTTGTCTCTTGTGTAGCACTGAGCCCATTGTTAGCGTTAAAAAAAATATATTTATATTAAGTGTTTATCATCCTAATGGTCCCACTCCTGTCTCCATTGTAGTCAGGAGTTTTGCCATTGGCTTCAGTGAGACCAGAAACCAGCCCTATCACTGATGAAGTGTCCAAACCTTTTTTCTAAGGGTGAGCAAAACAATACTTGCAGTTTGTTTGCAGCATAATCCCAGTTCCATTTTTCCAGGAGGAGTTTACATCATTCATGAGCTAAGGGAGAGAACAAGAAATCCTATGACCTTTCTATCAGTTTGTGTATGATGATTGGAGATGGGCCTGGATCAAATCCTCAAATCCAGACATCTCTGATTTTCAGATGAGTGGTTTCAATCTAGACCTGAACCTACATAAGAACGGCCATACTGGGTCAGACCAAAGGTCCATCTAGCCCAGTAGCCTGTCTTCTGACAGTGGCCAATGTCACGTGCCCCAGAGGGAATGAACAGACCAGGGAATCATCAAGTGATCCATCCTCTGTCGCTCATTCCCAACTTCTGGCAAACAGAGGCTAGGGACACCATCCCTGCCCATCCTGGCTAATAGCCATTGATGGACCTATCCTCCATGAATGTATCTAGTTCTTTTTTTGAACCCTGTATAGTCTTGGATCCAAGTTTTACATGCATTGATAATTCCTTGGTAGCTATGGCATATGTAAGGCTGTGTTCATAGCTCTAAATCAAAGCAGAAAGGGAGGATGGTCTAGTCGTGGTTAGAATGCTAGCATTAGGAGACTTGGATTCAGACTCCTGTGTGAACTGTTTCTCTCTATGCATCCATTTCCCTTCCATGAAAAGTTGATAAGAGAACTTTACTACCTCCAAAGGCTGATATAAGGATAAATATGTTAGCGATTGTGAGGAGTGCAGATACGGTGGTAATGGAGGTTATATAAGTACCTTAGACTAGAACTTTTCTGATTTTAAAAAAGTATAGTAGGATCTTTCTGATGTCTTATCTTCCAAAGTAAGATCTTAAGGCTGGATTTTGCTGCAGTACTATAGAATACTGGCATCTGCTATTTTTGTTCAAAATTCTGCTCCATTTGAAGCTGATAGAGATGGCTTCTTGTTTCAAATTTGCCCTGTTTGTGCTTACTCATTGCTCCAGCAGGGCTTTGCAGTGTGGCCTCGCAGACCTTTCTAAGAGATGCTATTGTACAATGTGTGTGAGTGTTTGAAGTCTCCAGAATGTGCTTTAATTGAAAACATAACTCGACACAGTAGTAAATGCCAAAAGAGAAAAATAAAAGGCCACTCTGCTGGCATTTTGTACTGACAAGCACCTGACAGGAAATACTGTGTATATCTGTGGAAAAGGAAGGGTATGGCAAAGAAAAAGAACTATTAATGAAAACTTAAAGGGCCAGATCCTCAACTGATGAAAATCAACATCACTCCATTGACTTCAATGGAGCAGCCACCATCTCATTGGTTTCGTTGATGCTATACCGATTTACACCAGCTGAGGATCCGACCTATTTCTGTCTCTCACACACATGCGCACACACATGTATACAAAAGGAGCTTTGGATAATATATATTTGTTTCTTTTCCTCATTTTTTAATAAAACTTTGTTTTACAGGTTGCCCACCGCTTGGTCTAGAGACTTTAAAAATTACTGATTTCCAGCTCCATGCTTCTACAGTAAAGCGATATGGTCTTGGGGCCCACAGAGGAAGGCTTAATATTCAGGTAACATCAATTTTCTTTGTAAGTGGTAGAATGGCTTAGGGTTGTAGTGTTCTGCAGACAGTGCTAATGGATGGTTATAGGTTTTGACTACCTTGTCAGCTCACATTATTCAAATGAAGGGGAAATATTGAATTATACTGGTGGATGGGGTTGATGAAGAGTTCTGAAGTTGTGGGGTTTGTTTTGTGCTTTAAAAAGCTTTACATTTTATGCTGCTTAGAATTCAAATCCTAATGGAATTCCATAAAGTAAAGAAGGTGAGGTGGAGAGAAGCAGAGAAAAGAACCTTCCTGTGTTAACAGAGCACAAAGAGGAGACTGTAAGGATATTTGAGAAGCAAGAACATTTTGTTTCATTATTTGCCTGTAAATAATGAACCTGGTGAATAGAAAAAACATTATTAAGCAAAGTAATTTGTCGCCAGACAGCTTTTCCCAGGCAATGATACTTCTACCAAAAAATATAGCAATTTGGAAGCCACTTGTATATGTTCTTGTGTCTGCTGTGTTAGTTATTTTCTCTTTATATGGTTTTATCTCTTTTATTCCAGCATCAGTCTTAGGCAAAATACAAAATTCTAGGCACATGAATAGCACTATTTAATGGAATTGCTAATATGCAAGAACAGGTTTAAGTGCTTTGTGGGAACAAGTCCTCAGTTCCAAACTCTTGTTCTTAATTGTTTTTTCACTTTTAATAGTGCTTCCTTCTCTACTCCATTCCCTTCCAGTCTAAAACCATTGCTAATACAAAAGAGAGCACAATATCTATAGCTCGACAGCATGTACAGGACATTAGTCACCAAATTAGAAGTGAAAAGTTGCTAAAGTCTCAACTGGTTTTATGGTTCCAGTTTATTAATCTTAGCCTTTTTATCCCTCCCATAAGGGTCTCTTTTCTAACTTAGAGTCATTGTCTGATGGACTGAGCATGGGACTAGTAGCCATTAATTTTTGAGTTCTAATCCTGGCCTTGAAATTCACCTCCTTTTTTCAAGTTAACAAGTCACTTAATGTCTATGCCTGAGTTTCTCAATTTGAAAAACAAAACAAAACCAGGAATAATAATGACTTTGTATGGTTGTTCTGACCATTAATTGATATTTCTCAAGCTCTTTGTGATCATTAGATGAATGGTGCTATGTAAGTACCAAAGAATGATGATGGTTTACATTTTATTTATGTAGAATAATGCTATAGAAATGGTAAAAGTATTACCAGGTACTGAGATGCATACCTTGTCTCAACAGCCTGTCAGTCCTTGTTTGATGCTTGTTGCTATATACTGCCTTTCATTTTATATTGTAACCTGTCTGCACTGTCTTCCATATGTAATTGGGATCTCTGGCTATCCCCAGTTATTTAGTTCTTTTAAATTAGAGAGTGAATTAATTGTTAAATGTCTGGTTTTGGGACATTGGCAGGGGGTTGAGGGAAGTCACACAAACATCTTGAAACTGAGACCAAAGGCAAGTGTATTATAGATCTAATTCACCCCGGAGTTACTCTAGTTGTATGCTGGTGTAAATCCACTGAAGTCAAAGGAATTAAACCGGCATAAAACTGGAGTTATGTGGTGTGAATCAGTTTCCATATATTTATTAACTGATTAAGCAAATCAAGGTACATATTTCAAGGAAATCTATTTACCCTAGCTGAGACATTTGTGATAGAACAGAGCCATGGATCAGATGACTTTGAGGAGAGTGGAATTTACCAACATTAGAAGTGACTCTTTCTTGCTGTGAAGTTCCTTCCAAACTTGAATTCGGCTTGACACTTTCCTTTAGCCCAATAGAATGGAATTCAATAAATGAAGTAATCTGATTCAGGCTGCAGTTACTTCCAAGATGGTTCCTTCAGTCTCTTCCCTCCAATGCACTTACCAAAACCAGAATCAGTGCATTGTTCAAGGGGCAAACAGGATGATGGTGAATGTGTTTAAGGCTTGAAAGACTATTTTAAAAGTATAAAAATAGTTGAGGGGGCCACTCTCAGGTTTATGACTAGATCAAAACCTCGTAACTGGAATGTGAACAAAAAAGGGGCTCAGGCCAACTATTCCTTTCAGAACAGCTAAGTGGCACGCCAGCTGGAGAGTTTCCATAACATTTGGTCGTTTGTTCGGGCTTCTTGTCTCCAGTTTGCTAGGTTACAGGGTTTTTCTGGGCCACAGAACTCCTTTCTTTCTTGGGTCTTTCTCTCATCTTGATCAGTGTCCAACTCTTCCTCCTGCAAATGAGCTGCTGCCACTTGCTGTTTCCCAGCAGTTCTCCAGACACCACTGGCTGTGACTGTAATATCTGTACCAATTTTTAGATAGTGACTCCATTTTTCTCCATAGCGAAGCTCATGCTTCCATCTAGGTGGTTGGCTGAGGGCTGCAGTGTACTCTCCAACGAAGAGTCCTTTAACCCCAAAGGCCAGTCTTCTTTATTTCAAAAATATGTTTTCAGTTGTGTTCTTCGTTTTCCAGTTTCAGATCTTTGTTTAGAAAATTGATCTATTTTCCTACTGCACAAACAAATGCTTCAGCCTGTCATAACTCTGCTAGATGCAATGTCTTATTCCACATATCTATTGCCATTTCCATGTATTGTGTAAATCCTGGCAAACATTCTCTTCATTTTCTCAACTTTCAAGTTTGTTTTGATTATTTTCTGGTATGAATACTTTCATGATCCCATCACTCTGGAAGGCTTGTATATAAATAACACAAGAGTACCTAATCTATGACAATGTTTAAACTTAGGAATTTATCTCTTTTCCTTTTCCTGTTTGAGTGCCACCTATTTCTCTTCTACAACTTTATCTCTAATAGACAGCTCCAGTAATCTTCAAATTGCACACTTTCTACATTATAGCGCCCACCCAGATAACCATTCAGTAATCCCTTAAAGCAGCTCAAACATTTTGAGCACTTACCGTGACTGACAGTGCGTGTAAAAGTGCATTCTGCAGTTCTTGTTCTTTTTCAGACACTCCTAGTTTGCAGCCTGGCCTAAAACGACTAAGGTTTCAATATATTCAAGTTGGTGAGATCACTCTTTCCAGATTTCCTCTGTCACTTAATTTTGCATGTTCAACTTCAGTTCAGGATTATGATCTCTGAATTTTGGTGATATTGGGAAATATATAAATGGGACTTTTATTTATAACCAAATTTGGGAAAAAATACTGTCTTTGATGTTTCAGTTTGAAATTTAGATTAATTTACAAGTACTCTATTAATGAGAGCTGAGGTTAAAGTCAATTACACAGTGAAGACAGGCTTTAGAGTTTGAAGCGGGAGTGCAAGTATGTGCATTTGGTTGTTTGTACTGTATGCAGTTGTGTATTTATTTATGTGCACTCCTTCTTAAATGTACAGTAATCAGAGAGTGAAATTCAACCCTGGGCAGAGGATCAGCATATTATCTATGCACTTCAGTCCCACTTAAACTCTGGTTAGAAGGTTTAATTGCGATGAAGGTGGTGCATAGAACTTTGCATGCCCTGTGAATTTCACCCAGTATGCACACAGTAGATTCCACTCTCTTTTAAGTATCAGAAGATGAGTTTGTGTGTAGTCTTGTTTCTTTGTGTCACTGTTACAGGATAGAGCAAACAGTGAAATCCACAATCATTTTTTGACTATTACACAAATACGGTACTTAAGTTTCTTCAAACTAAAGAAATGCTAATGACATTTTGCAGTTATATTTAAGCAAATGATAGTTATGTTTTTGATGGTGTACTGTAATATGCACCATGATATTTCTTAATTTATTAGTTTCTATGCTGCCACTCCTTTATGTTGGCAGTAACTACTCTAAAAGGATCATGAGCTGGTTGAAAGTACAAGTCCCGAGCAATTTCAGATCTACAAGCTCCCTGTGGTGAAATAATTATTGCCTTAGAGGATCTAACTGTTGTCCTCATCCCATTAGGAATTATGTACAAGTTAAACATGGATAGATTGCTACAGGTATAAATAATTACTTGCATTGCAGCTGACTTACTGGGTGTTGATTTCACAGAAAACTGAAATTTGTACCTCTATATTTTTAGTACATTTAGGGCTTAGTATCTTCACCCTTGATACAAAAGTGGGCTCTTTGAATTGTGCTAGTATGGGACAATATTTATGTTGTCTTGTATTTGGAAAGAGAACCATAATGATTATGAATTGAGAAAAGACGTGCCCTGCTGTCATATTAAAAAGATGAATGAACTTTCTATGAGACTTCAGTCTTACTTCTAAATTTACACTCATGTACCTTATCAACAATCATTTGCACCCACAATTTTGCTTGAATTTCAGCATCTAACAGCTGAATTTACAGGCACTTGATATGCAAGCTATGATCTGCTGAAATCCTATTAAGCTGTGCTCACAAATTATTTTTTATGAATCATTGCAGGTGCAATTTTAGAGGGCATTTAAAAAAAATTAGCCCATACCAGGAATATATATCTATAGAACATTCAATATATGCAATAAAATAATACTTAGCACTTATATAAAATGTTTGGATCGAAAGATCTCAAACTGCTGAACAGCGGTAAGTAAGCATTACTATTCCAATTTTACAGCTGGGGAAACTGAGTCACACAGAAGTTAAATGACTTCTCTAAGAGCTCACAATGAGTCAATGGCAGAATTGGAAGTAGAACCCATGGCACCTGATTCTGTCTAAAATCCTATGAACTTGACCACTGTCTCAAAAAATGTGCTGATATAGTTCAATAGAAGTGCTTTAATTAATGAGAGATACACATCTGCAGGCAGAACTGGGTCCTATGTTGTACTTTAATACCACATTATATGAGTAGATGCACTTCTTGTACAACATATAGAACTTTCCCCCAAATAATTGCTAGAACATATCTGTTAAAAAAAAATTACCCTCGCTGTTAAAAATTTACGCCTCATTTTCAGTCTGAATATGTCTAGATTCAACTTTCAGCCATTGGATTGTGTTATACTTTTGACTGCGACATTGAATAATACAATATATCATACCCAAATGAGGGAACTCAAAAGTTAGTCAGGACCTGCACTGACATACACCTTGTGCTAACTCATTGACTTTACTAGTCTGCACAGCAACAAAGAATTTACTTTGGCATGTATTGTATGGTAATAAAGTCTGTCCTTGCTCCCACTGAAGTCATTGAAAGTGCTGCCATTTAATTCCACATACCAGTGCTGGGTTCAAAAATAACAATATATTTGAGAGCTGAGCCATAATCAAAACTCCATAAACACATTTCAGATCCAGATCTAGGCTTAGATCTGGGTTTGCAATCTATCTGTGTAGTGGCCTGCATCAGAACACCAACCCTGAACACCTGAAACTTTGGAAAAGTTTAAACTCCAAGTTCAAGAACGTTTAGATTTGGGGATTTGGATGTAGATCCAAATATAATGTAATATAGATCCTAACCAACTTGGACCTGGATTCAGAGTTTGAAATCACTAAAATGAAAGTATTTATTTTACCTGCAAATTAAAAGACAAAAATGGTCTGATTTAATACTTTGGTTGACTTTCAGCCCATCTTCTCCCCTGCTTCCACTAATCCCTTCATCCTATTAGTTATAAATTTACTGAATCAGTGCTTAAAAATGAACTCTTGAAAAATTACACTTTTGGCCATGCTTAAATCATAATTCTAACACCTTAACTCCCTTAATTAAATACATGGAAGTTTAAATTTATGTAAATATTTTACGTGGGAATGTATATTTTGATCCATATTCTTTGGCTGAATATTTGATTATAGCTATTTTTAATCACATAACCAGGAATGAAAATTACAATCATGAAAAGAGGTCTATCACCATTTAAACTACTAAAGATTTAATTAAGAACATAAGTTTATGGAAACAAAATATAAAGGTGGCCATAAGGCAAGTTCAAGGACTTCAAATACCTTTTTAAAAACAAATGACAGTACCGTGGCTTTAAAAAAAGATTTAAAAAAATAATTTTAGGATATTTTTTCCCAGGAAAAGCCTATTTTAAGAATTTTTGATTAAGCGTCTTGATTTTTTTTAAAATAGTATATTTAAACAGCAATAAACAAATTGCTGATAAATTGAATAGTAAAATATTCTAGTAGCTGGAGAAAAGTTGAAGAAAAAACAGAATGGAAACAAGTAACAACACAGACTTCATCTTCATGCCGTCTTTCTGTCCCTGACTCAGAAAAGCACTTAAGCACATGTTTAAGGCTCAGCATGTGCTGAAGTCCAGCCATATTCAGCAAAGCTTTTAAAGGTGTGCTTAACTTTTACTATGTAATTTAGTTTCACTGAAAGCAATGGGCCTTAAGGATGTGCTTCAGTGATTTGTGCAAACAAGGCTTCTCGTATGCCACTGGTCTTGTTCTTCTCCCTTCTCCTTTCTATCATCCACTGCCGAGTTCATCTTTTCTTCATCCTCCGATGTCACATTTATAAAGCAATGGTCTCATTCTGAATTAGAGATGGGCCTGAACCAAAACCTCAATCAAATACCCTTGAACTTTGCAGGAGTTTGGATCTTAACTTTACAGTTCAAGGCCCATCTCTATTTCAACATGATATTTTATTTCATCCACTCCATTGAATGGAGGCTCAGTTTGAAGGCAACACTAACAGTTACTTTCCGGATTACTTTGTAGAAGGAGCCAACCAGCAACAGAGTCATAGAGTTTAAGGCCAGAAAGGACCACCAGGTCATCTAGTCTGACATCCTGCATATCACAGGCCACCAACACCACCCAGCCCCTGCACACTGGATCCAAAAAGTTAAATTAGACTAAAGCATTACAGCTCCCAGGAGACTAGACTATTATGTGCCATTGGCAGAGAATAGGAGGGACCAAGGTGCACCAGTTTGAGGTACCTGCAATGGCAAGAAAATGATTAAATAAGGATATCAGGATATCCAGATAATCCTGGCAAGAGGTGTGCACCCACATGCTGCAGCGGAAGGTGAAAAACCCCCAAGGTCACTGCCCATCTGAGCTGTGGGAGAATTCCTTCCTGACACAGTGATCAGTTAGAGTGACCCTGAGCATGTGAGCAAGAACCAGCCAGCCAAGAACCTGAGAGAGAGAATGCTCAGTACCACCTCAAAGCCCTGACCCTCCCCTTCCAATGTCCCATCTCCAGCCATGGCCATCCCTGATGGTTTGGTGAAAGGAAATAAAAATAATAATCATAAGTGCTGGAACTAGGGGTGCTGCCACACCCCTTAGCTTGAAGTGGTTTCCATTATATGCAGGGTTTATAGTTCGGTTAAATGGCTCTCAGCACCCCCACTATAAAAATTGTTCCAGCACCCCTGATAATAATAATGATGATGATGATAATAAAAACACACCAGAAGACACTGGGAGGAAACAAAGTCCCTCCCTGCAGATGGCTGGCTGACTGGTCAAAAACTTGTGGGCTTCGAGGGGCATGTTCACTCATAGTTGAAGGATTATTGTTAGTCAGGGGGCCAGAACCTCAAGTCAGTACTTCAATGGAACTATGCCTATTTAAACCATTTACACTAACAAGCCAGGGCTTGATTCTTCTCTCTCTCATATCATTTTTACACTAGTTTAACTCCATAGACTTCAGCTGAGTTACTTCTGATTTATATTAGTGCAAGTGAAAGGAGAGTCAGTCTCTGGTCCTGAGGCACTGTTGTGTTACCTTAGTTTTACATCAGTGTAACTCCATTTAAATCTGTGGAGTTACACCAGTGCAAACTAGACTATTGCAATGGTGAATCAAGCCCCCTTGAGAGTCTTGACTTTCCTTGGCAAGTAACTTTGTCAAATCCTGATAGTTCATATTTCACTTTATCTTAAAATGTATTTTTAACTAAACTTCCCTGGAAAAAAGTAATGACTCTTCTCCATAAACAATCTGGGCAATGTTCCTATTTAGTTTCTATCTTATTTTCCCAGTGTTTGCTTCTTTCTGAATAATTTATTTTTTGGTGTTAATGGAATTTCCCCTACCCCTTGCAGTTGAACTTGAGTGTAAACTTCATTTTCTGTGTTATAAATATAATTTGATGGGTTTGATCAAATTTGGAAAAATCAGGAATTCTAACTGAACTAATGTGAAATCAAAGACTTTGGGTGTGTGACCTCACTAGAATCTCAACTTTGATCACCTCAGAAGTTTAGACTTCTAGATTCAAGTGTGGATCTAAGTTATTGAATGTTAAGGGATGATTCGTGCAATCTGACTAATATATCAGGCATTAATTCTCTAGTCATATCCCAGACATATAATCCACATGCTTACTTCCATATACACCAAATGAGACCGTATCACTGAAAAAATGCATTTGTACCTATGTTTTATCCTGTTTATCTTTAATACATATTTATAAAGTCTCCCTGGCTAGCTCTTGGGAGTTGTTTGGGAGATACCAAGCATTACAAACTGCTCGTGAGCCATTCTTGGAATTGCCATGACTGCAAAGAAGTGCATTTTATAACTCCTGAAAAACAGAGTGGGGAGGAAGTATAAAAGTATTAAAAAGCCTGTGTGTAGTGGCTATGAACAAAGCAAAGAGCCTCTGTCCTTTATAATAGCAATAACCACCTGGGTGCAGGGTATTTACAGGGCTTACTAACTAGGTGAAGCTAACAGCCCTCAGAGTGCCTCCACACATAATTACATTGCAGCTAGTCATAACTTCCCAGGAAATGGCCTATGATCAGGTAGTTATTGCTTAATTGCAATTTCCTCAGATTCAGTTGCATTCATCTGGATTTTATATGGCCAGCTCTGAGTCATTTCTCCTCATTTGAAAAAGTTGGGAGACTGTATGCTTGTTTTTTATTGACAAATACAATAAGTGTAAGACATTTATGGTTAGTGGTTTACGTGCAGGACTAGGCATCAAGTATTCCTGAGTTCTGATGTAATCTCTGACCCTGACTAATCTCCATCACTGGGGACATCCAGGCCTCACAACTAATGTCCCTGAGTGGAATGTGTTGATCCCATTTGCATGAACTCCCTGTTCTCCAAAACTACTTTTGGAGGAGAAGGCCAGGGTTCCACAGCAGGGGAGTCTTTCCTCTAAATGAGTCAGTCTATCAGAGACATTTGCACAGTTCAAAAGACCACATGGGTAATTTGTGCTGGACAGAGACTTTCTGAGACTGCTGGCGCAGAAAGGTAGGTTGGGCTGAAGTCCTGTTCAAAATCAGACCAGTCAACTCTAAATTAAATTTATGTCAGGATCTTGGCTTTTTAAATGATTTTAAAATATTTTTCCACTTTGGCCAAGATGTTTTCTTTCCCAATGTATATAGGTCCTCAGAAGGGGCACTCCATCAGAGTCTTAGAACATCTGTGTGACCAAAGGAAGGAATGGAATGAATGATTTCATGTTCTCTTATTTTTTCCATGAAAAGCTTTTGATTTATCAATGATGATTTATAAAGACAGCTTTGCCTTCTTTTCAGGCAGGTGTTAATGAAAATGATTTTTATGATGGTGCTTGGTGTGCAGGACGAAATGACCCATACCAGTGGATTGAAGTAGATGCTCGAAGGCTAACAAAGTTCACTGGCATTATCACACAAGGAAGAAACTCTCTTTGGTTGTAAGTACATGCTTATTTTGCTGTCTATGATTCTAAAGTTTGGATCTAAGTTTGTTCATTTTTTCTCAAGGAAGAAAGGGAAAAATAAGAGATGATGGGACATAATAATAGAGCAAGCAATTAAACAGAAAAAAGATAAAATGCATGTTGTTTATACAGTATTGTGTATACGGAAAACAAATCTGAAGGTAGCAGATTACCACACCCTTAAACTACACATGTCAAGAAAGCAGGACAACACACTTTGATAACCCTCATCATTACCACTTAAGTGATGAGTAACCCTGTGTACTCAAATACGATTATTTAAACCAGTGTGCAATTTGCTGATATTATGTTTCCTGTCTGTTTTCCAATGTTTAACAATTATCCATTTTTCAGTCATGCTGGACTATAATATCGAATCCCCAAGATTTACTAGTACATCAGCAACCACAAGTTAATTTATACTCTGGAGTCACATACATTAAGTCAACATTTTCAATAATTATTTGCACATCATCTCATTTCAAAAGGATAAAAAAAAATCTGAAGATATTACAACAAAACATGATACACATTTTGATCAGAGTTCCAGCATCTGCTACTGCACTGAGCATGTGCATTCTGGTTGGAATCTATGGAGTTGAGGTGTGGCCAGTAAGCTTGCCTCATTCTACAACTTCTCCAGAAAAGGGACAACTCCTCCTCTCTCCTTGGAGACTGTGGCCTATGTACCCCATTCTGGAAAAGCAGAACCCAGAAACTCAGCTGCTGGGCACTCCTGTGCTGTCCCTTGTAAATACTGAAAGCATTCTGGAGTCCCATGTCTGGCAGCAGAGTGAGGGATCTATGAATCTCACACAGTGGATGTTTTGCATTTGCAGTTATCCATTTTACACATATAATTGCACATTTTGTGTGCAAAAAAACCTCTTCATGACCAGGCTCCTTGTTAAAATATATAGCTTAGGCACCTATAGCATTTTTGAAAATTCATCCTGTTATGTCTACCATTCAGATTGTCTCTGCGTTGGATATATTACTCTAGCAAAAGGCTGATGGTTCATGTGGGACTTTTACCTCCCCAGTTGGCATAAAAGTGCAAAATCACTGAAGGAGTTGATAAGACTACATATAATAACACAGAGAACTGGACTGGTACTCAGCAGACCTGCATTCTATTCCAGCCTCTGCCACTGGCCTGATGGCTGACCTTGGACAACGCACTTCACTTCAGTGTGTCTCTGTGTCCCCATCTATAAAATGGGGATAGTGATACTGACCTCCTTTGTGAAGAGCTAGGTGGAATTTTTATTATTCGCTGCCCAGCATGGCCCCACTCATGAACAACAGAGCAAACCCTGCATATACTTAGTGGAAGCATTAATTAGAAAGGGAACTCTATCCCCTCTACTCCTCTCTCTGCTAGAGATTTCCAAGTGCTTACCTGCTCCCCACCTGTAGCCATAATTGGGCCCAATGGAGTTGTATGTGGGGCAAAAAGAGGGAGAATATATTTGAATTTTCTTTAAATGCTCCTTTCTCTGTGCCTGATTCTGATTAACGTTGATGCAAGTGACATGAAAGGGGCCTCCACTGAAGTCAATGGAGTTACCCCACTATAAAACCAATTAGAATTAAGCCCTACAAGTACAATGTTCTCTTAAGGGATATAGTATATATTTTGCATCTTCATGCAATATACATTCAAATCTCCCTTTGACCTCTCTCTGCATTATTCAAGCATGTAATCCCATTGGTACTATTGCAACGACTTCAGTGAGTAGGGGGTTGCAGGATTTAACAAGATCTGTATCCCATACTGTAAAAGATGTATTAGAAAAACAATCACTCTGGTAAAAACAAACTTTCCCTTTTTATACTGTAATTTCTGGTATTGATTTTCTTTTTTGTACTGGTGTGGGAGTGGGAGCCTGTGACGATGAGTTTGCTATAGTTATTCCTCATTGTTCTGTGATAGGTAATTACTGTAGCAAAGGATCAGACATCTCCTGTATTTATACATTAGACATCCCTTGTGCCAGCTATCATTTATACCAGCACATAACTTCTTTGTCTTTGTCATGTTGCTGGGTTTTAGTTTATATTATGCAGTTTGCAGCAGGGCAGGAGGCCCTATTTACATTTGACACACATCGACTTCTTGGTTTTTAAACTTCTGAACAAGATGCCTGTTCCTGTCCTCATTAAAGTCAACGGGTAGAACTCCCACTGACTCTCCGGGGGGGCAGGGTGCAAGTTCCTTCTCCTCATGTACCCATGCATCTGCATAGTGTCTGTCTCAGATGTTCAGGCCAGGCTCAAAATTCAGCCCTTCTTGAGTAATGACAATATGCATGCTTTCAAATAGCCCCTGGGGCCTGATCCTGCTTTAGTAAAGTGCCAAACCTTTATTGCCTACCACAGGAAAAGGATCAGGTCCTTATTTAATATTTGACTCCCATTTGTAAATTGTAACTTTTATTTTTGTGCTATTTGATTTGGTTAAACTCTGCTCTTTAATCTCCTATCTCAGAGATTGTTTAAAAGCAGAGATTCCATGTTAAGCTTAAGAGGGCTGATAAATGAATCTGGAGTGACAAAGTGTAATTTTAAAACACTAGAGGAAAAATGATAATGTTTACTGCAATGGATGTTTAACTTTTGCTGTCAGCCTTCCTAACATGCGGTATGTGTGTGTTTGCATTTTCTAGATACAATCTATCAGTTTGAAGCTTTATCTGGGCACATGCTTTTATGGCTTTCAGAAAAACACAATACATTTTAAATGACCCAAAAGAGATGGTGTAAATCTTCATCCAGATGAATATGCATCTGCTATGTCATACACGTTTATCTGAAAGCTGAACTAGTACAGGTTTCTTGGTTTTATTTGTTGGATCAGGAAGAAAATATTATGTTGTTGCTAGCTATCATGTATTCCACACAAATGTGTGTGGCACCACAGAGAGCAAGTGTGAGGGGCGGTACTAGCTCTGAAGGGCTTAGCTTCAGAATAGATGACTGACTAGGAGTGATGACAGACAAGTGGGATTTAAGGAGAGGAAGGATAAAAGTGACTAATATTATGGGATTGCTTTAGCTAGTTCTGAACACATAGGTCTCGAATTTTCAAACACACTCATGTAGGCACCAAAACAGGTGTCCAGATTTTGCGAACACTTCAGAATGTTACATGCAGTGCTCTTTTAATCTGACTGTAGATGTCACCATCTGAACTTCCGGATGCTGAACTCTCGTGTGAAAATCTGGCCCACAGTGATGTCAGGTTATGTTTTGTTTTTAAATATTTTATTGTTTCTAAATAACTGTACCCTTTAATGTGTGTCTACTTTCCTTTGTTCCTTCCTCATCGTTTGGTCAAGCAAGGAAGGGTGGTAAGAAGGGAATAGGGAAATGGGTGTGTGTGTGTAATGATGAATTAATAGGGGGAAAGAGAAAGTGGATAGAGAGGGCTAGAAAAGGGAGGCTAAAAATAGAGATGGTGAGGGAGAAGTATATGATGGATGATATATAGTGGAGAGAGAAGGATAGCTCAGTGGTTTGAGCATTGGCCTGCTAAACCCAGGGTTGTGAGTTCAAACCTTGAGGGGGCTATTTAGGGATATGGGGCAAAAATCTGTCAGATGATTTAATTGGGGATTGGTCCTGCTTTGAGCAGTGGGTTGGACTAGGTGGTCTCCTGAGGTCCCTTCCAACCCTAATAGTCTATGATGATGGGGGAGTGAGGTAGGTCAGCAGGGTGATGGAAGCAGATGTTAGAGTCCAAAAGGAGAAAGTCTAGCACAGGGAATGCTTGGTGGTATCAGGAGGTGAAAGTTTTCTTTTCTGCTGCCTGCATTAATGGCTGTAGGACTTCAGATGGCTTAATGGCCTTTTACAGGCTACCCTAGTAGCTGCTTCTGACAGGATGATGGGCCTCCTCGTGGTTTGGGTGGGCTGGGTGGCCTGTTGTCCCAGAGTGGCTGCTCACTGGTCTGATGGAGGTAGGAGGGAAGGGAATTCATAGACTTGGCTCTCTCCCCTGGTTCCTTGTTGCTGTTGACTGGGAGGGCAGTCAAAATGACTATTTATGGCCCAAAGGTCTGTATAAGATGCTGTTGTATCACCTGAGATACTGCCCCATTTTTTAATTTAAAAAAAGACATGAAGAATATTCCTTTGCCAACATGTGTTCCATTTGAATAAGAGAGCCAGGAAATACCCTTCTGCTGAGTTATGCTGTGTTAAAAGAAAAGATAGCCAAGCTTACTAGTCAGTGGGAGACTTTGGAGAGGTTACCAGTGAGAAAAAAATATCAAGGCACCAAAATATACCAGCTTCTTGCAATCAGGCCAGGAGAAGCCACAGGTTATCACTGGGTCAAGGAATTGATCAGATCAAGTTTAGTTAGTGCTCTGTGTTGTTGGAAATAAAATTCAAATACTAGACTCTTCACCCCCCGCCCCTTTACACAGGAATACAAGTCTGAAAACTCTGTAGAAATGCCATGTTTCCAGGGTGTGTGCTGTCATGTTACAGTAATAAAGAATCACAGAAGTCACTTTCTCTAAACACTGAACAAGGAACTTTATTACAGCAAGAAAAAAAAATTAACTCCAAAGCTACTCTCTGTGCTTCACTGTAGAGCTGCTGCCTAGGTTAGAACCTGCTATAGATTTAAAGAAACAGTACACATATCCTAGGCTGATCAGACAGCAAGTGTGAAAAATCAGGACAGCAAGTGTGAATAAACTGGGGTGGGGCTAAAAGGCACCTATATAAGATAAAGCCCCAAATATTGGGACTGTCCCTATAAAATCGGGACATCTGGTCACCCTAACTTATCCTCAAAAGCAGAGGGCATGTGCAGAGGGCCATCTCCACACTCTCCAGCGTGTGGTAACACAAAGAACTTTGCCACTCACTGAAGAGCAGGAATATTGGTGGGAATGGGAGGATGGGAGCATGGCCAATGGGCCTATTCATAGTATAGATGCAGTGGCTCAAAAGCGTGC